ACATTCTGATTGTCTTTGTTGGTCTTCCTTGAGCTCCATCCTCTGCTCTCGTCGAAGAGATGCCTCTGATCTGGGCTTACTTGTTGTGTGGTAACCGAGGCTAACAGTGGGAGCCCAGTCTACCGACTCAACGTCACCCAAAGCGCTAGGGCACCCTAAAAAGTCCCAACAAAGTCCATATTAGACTACAGGTAACTTAAACATGATCAGTATTACTAAGTAAATAAGCATTTAACCACAACCCAATAATACATAAACAAAGCCACAAAAACCAAGTTAGCTAATACCTCTGAAGTGGTCGCTGCAGACACGTGCATTAGACGACTCTGCTCCTCCCGACCGCAGATGTATGTTTGAAAGCCATTTTTTCCGGCGTTCTTCGGTTAGCTTCTTAAATTGCTCAGCTTTAAACCTTCGGCACTCGGTAAAACCTCTTGTCTTTCTCTCGGCCGGATCGATTGGAACAACCGTAAACTACACAACACACCGGTATTTTCACAATGGTAACAGCAGCTAGATCCTCTGTTGAAAATTACTTCCTGACCTCCAATGGAATTTCGCGCCAAAGGAACGCAGCGGTGTGACGTCAAGTGAAACCAAGCTATTCTGCCCTACCCCAGGCGACGCCCATGCTGTAGAGTCACACTAATTAGAAGAACGCAGACTAAAACAGCAATGTAAAGACTCATTAGATGACTAAACATGATCTTTACATCGCCCATAAACTATGGTGCACCCCTCCCCCCCAAATCAAGTTTAACTGCCCCAGCCCCAGTCAAAACCAGAGGTTTATGTGAAATAGTTCTTTTTTGAAATAATGGTTTTAGTGTGCAATTATAGGTTTTAATTTTGTATTTGTGTTAATTTAAAATAAATCAAACTCCCAAAAAACGTATACAGCTTTTATTAACATTGGAATTTACTGTGTAAGCGGCTGCGGGGGGAGAGCTTTAGAGAGCTCTCTCCTGAAAGACTGAGAGGCTCTGATAACCTCAGCTCAGTGAGGTAAAGGCACACCTTTATATGATCATTATAGTTATAAAAAGAGAATAGATTTTCATCTATTCTCTTATAGTATAAAATACTATATGACAGTACAAAAAAGTTAACAAGAATACAGTTTAAAAGGGGACTGATTTGTAAAATATCCATAAAGAAATAGAAAATCTGTGTACAGTTCTGTTTCATATGGGTGTTGAGAGATGTATCCATAGATCTCTTCATTTTGCTCTCAAAGTATACCAGATTGATGCATTTAACTTCAGTATAAAGAGGATGTTAGGTCAACCCCCCACTTAAATCATGTTAAAATGGATAGGACACTAAATAAATTTGCACACATATTGTCTCCATATTTTTCTGTTATGGTGGTCATGCCACAATCGTGCACATGCATGCGCAGTCATAGTGAGTGTCTGCATTTTGGGGGGCGGGCGCCAGCTAAAATCTTGCCTTGGGCAGCAAATTGGTCAGGGCCGGCCCTGCACTGAGTGGTGGGTTCCTGTTTATTTAGTGGGATGTTATTGAATATTTATTTAACATGGCTTTTTTTCTGAACAATGAAATTCATACAAAAAAGATGGACAAACGGAAAAGTCCCAAAAAAGTTGAATGAAAAGGAACGAGGAGGGTGAAAAATGTGGTGAGGGGCGGGGCCTGCTCACAGGTGAACGCCGCACAGGTGGAAAGAAGGAAGGAGGGCAAATGTGCGTCCTGAAAAACCAGTGGCGGCTGTCGGCGCCGTTACTCGGGCTCGCGCTCCTCCGGTATGGCCCCCAGCTGCGTGGGGAACTGTGCGCCGCTGTTCTTCCTCGCGGTTGTTTTCGATGCCGTCGGGCTGGTGGTGCTGCTGGTCGGGATTTTCGGCAACCTGAACGTCGAGGGCCGCTTCTACGGGGATTTCCTCATCTTCACGGGCTCCGTCGTGATTTTCCTCAGTCTGCTGTGGTGGGTTCCGTGGTACGCGGGGAACGTGCAGCAGTACGCGGAGGACAGGGCCGGTTCGCTGGAGATCAACTTTACGCAGTGGGCCAGGAAGGTGTCCGAAAGGCTCTCCAAAGGCGGCATGAAGCCTCTGGGAGCGGGGGAGGAGAAGAAGAAGAGCGTGGGGGACGGGAAGGAGATGAATGGGACTGTGCGTGCTGCGCCGTGTCGAGTTACGTGGGAGACCGGCAGCAGTGGATGGCCTGAGCACGCTCCAGCTGACCGGACCGTGGAGCTTGGGGTGCTGAAGAGCGGCACCGGGGCTCTAGCAGCAGGGGGCAAAGCCGAGAGGCTGCTCTGAGGAGAAGGTGGGTGTCATCACGAACACACGTGCAGAGAACGTTTGAGGAGCGGGACCCAAATAAATAAAAGTCCAAGCTGGCAATTGTTGTTAACTTTAAATAAATTATGCTTGCATGGGATAACTTCTTTTGTGACAGTTTTAAGGGATATTCATTTGTATGTATTCTAGACAAACCCATGGGGTTGGTTCAAACGCTTCATGACAGATAATTAATGATACATCCTAAGAAATTAGGTGTATTTCAGTGAATTCTTGTTAACTTGCCAAAAGCCCTCTGCTTCCTCTCTCGCCTCCTTATTTGTTTTACTACCTTCTCCTTAAAGCCATCAGGCACAATGCTTCAGTAATGACGGGCAATAAAAAGATTGTGAACTACTTTGTGACAAATAATTAGTTTAATAGTGTTCTACACACACACAATGTAACTACTGTAACATGCACACTGCTGCTGACACTTTGAAAAGCATCAGTAAGCTGCAGTTTCCCCTGACACTAAACTGCCGAGTCTGGGTTAAAGCCGGGCTTAGTAGGGCGGCTGCTGTTCATCAGCTCTCCCTGCCTCAGCTGAAACTCTGTTATCATTACTGTGGCACACAGCTGTCACACAGTCAGAATTATGAAGTGGCTCACATTATTGTGTGTGATCAGATGACCCTCAGTGACGTGAGGAATGCCCCC